CCCGCCACCGAAAAAAGGGGAAGGAAAGTTGAAGAAGGGCAGGCATGTGGTTTCGGTAATAAATTAACTTAAATACTATGCAGAAGAAAGGCTGCCTGGAGCTGACTGTTTTCCGGTAAGAAGTCAGCATTATCACCCCAGTTGGGATACAAACATAGAATCTTGCTGTTTTTGAAGGGCCAAAAAGGACCTAAGCAATAAAAGTGAAAGTCCACATTCAAAAAGCTGTCATCGGATTTGTAGCTAACTTGGAATATATTCTGTGTGTTTTAAACATACTCTTTTCCATGATCCAGAAACATCAGTTATTTAACAAAGAGGTTTATTTAGGAGGGAGTAAAAAATAGGGGGCAGGGGGCGGAATACCAAGCTGCAAAGAGTGACAAAAAGGTTGTTTTAAAATCCGCAAAGCATGACTGTGTCAACAGCTCTGGAGTCCAGGGTGTGGAGCATTAACCTGTGTTTACATATATCCAAATCTGTTTTCTAAAGGCATGTGTTTTAAATGCCAAAAATGATCTCTATGAGAGAAATGGAAGCCAGTTTGTTTAATGCGAAAACTGCCTAGCACCACTACAGTCAACTGCGGTCACGGATAGTCTTAGCTGGGTTAATAGCCAACAAAGAAAAAACCCCTGCCAGCAGCATTCACTTCATAGTAACAACACTGCAGATGGCCTGGGGCAAAGCTAGGTACATAAAACGCCATTTTTCAGATAAAGTTTGTATTCAAATGGGGTTTCTTAGAGCTCTGCATTCATTCAAAGCCCTTTTGGGCTTGGAAGTATAGTTTAGGGCTCATGGCAAGGTCATCTCAACAACAGTCAATCTTTTAGATATTGGAAAACAAAATTTTTACAGTGAATTTCCTTTAATATCAGAAAAATAATGAGTTAAAGCCCATCTGACAAGAGGCAATTTTTCCTCAAAGTTGACCATTTCTTCACCTTGAAGTGTTATTATGCTCAATAAATGAGAGAGTAAGGATTAGTCTTGTGGCCGCATCTATGTCTCCAGGGACTTACTGTTACTCTGCTGAATTCAGTGTTTGCTGGATGAAAGATGGAGTGCTAAGAACTGCACCCTCAAGCAGAATTTCTCATTCGATTTAACAAGAAAATAACTTCATACACAAAGCAAAAGTGATTTTAGCTACTCAGTACTACAAAGTATCACCTAAGGTACAAAATGTCCAGTTCAATGCAACCACCGAGAATCCATATATTTTAATAGAAAAGCTATCAGGGTGGTGGGCCAGCATCTGTTGGCTTTCTAATTTGGAGAGTAACACAAGGCATAGGAGATCAAATACACTCCCAAGTTCCCTAAGGGTTAAAGGCCTGGCTATTCACCACCACTGGCCTGAGACTTAGGAGACCAGCAGTTACATAATTACATAACGGCTCTAGACCTCAGTTCTCTTTCTTCATTTGCAAGGACAGAGAATTAAATGAGTTAACATTATAAGGCTCCTCCAGCTCAAATATTCTATTAAACTCGAGCTGTTCAAAACCTTGTAAGTTTCAGTTGAATTCTGCAGAAAGAAGGGTCCATAAGAACGTTTCTTTTAAGCAAATAATATACGGTTGGACCCTCCGTATCTGCGGGTTCCGCATTCATGGATTCAACCAACTCAAATCAAAAATATTCAGGGAAAAAAACTCCCAGCAAGTTCCAAAAAGCAAAACTTGAATTTGCCTCATACAGGCAACTATTTACATAGCATTTACATTGTATTGCGTATCATAAGTAATCTAGAGATAAATTTCAAGTATACAGGAGAATGTGTTTGGGTTACATGCAAATATTTCGCCATTTTATATTAGAGACTTCAGCATTCTTGGATTTTGGTATCTGCAGGGGTCCTGGAACCAATCCCCCCATGCATACTGAGGGACGACTGTACGTAAGTTTCCGGGAAAGCAAATTTGAGTACAACTGACTCCACTGAGTTATAATACCACTTCTGAGAGTACCTTAAAACGTTATACATATCATAATAATATTCATTTTCATAGTCGGAACACTTGGCTCATAGGTATTTGATGTATACATTCTAGGGAGTTAAATCTGGCAAAGTGCTTTAAGCCAGATTTGCTTCTGAAACTCCATTTCTAAAATGAAATGTAAGTTGTATCAGTTACATACATACACATACGTATACCTACTTACCTATCAATCTATATAAAAAGTATGTACCAGTTTTATGCCTCAGGCATATTTCTGGCTCTTTGAAGTTACTATCTATGAATTTCCCTCGAGAAAGTACCACTTTTAAAAAACAGCTTAATTTTACCTCCTAAATATAGATTCACTTTTTGCTATATACTGTTAATTAGATTTTTGTTTTCCCAGAGAGATTCATTACTGAACATGTCACAGTCACATGGTCTGGCTTATACATAAAAACCCTGAAAGGTTCATTTACGTGAGTAATGGCGGCGACAGATTTGTCTGTCGTTTGTATCCCCAGAAGAAGAGCATAAATACATGGTTTGATAAATCACCAGTGTGACTTTCACAAATATTAACTACGATACAGACATACCCATACACAAATTAATTGTCCTACCCATATAAAAATGTTTGAATTATGAACGTTAAACTAGTAATGGGACAAAAATGGTCTTATTGAGCGACATGTATACTGGCAAAAGTACAACATAAATACACGTTTTTAAAAGATGCTGCTCTAAAAATTCAGGTTTTGAAAAAATGAAGCAAAAATTAAAAATTGGGACCCACTTACCAGTCTGTTTTCATCAAAGACTTCAAACAAGAGTCTGTGATTAGATGGGTTTACCTATGAGTGACAGAAATAATATTTTTTAAGTGGGCAGAAATAATTCAAGGAATGAAATAAGAGACTGAAAGAATAAAATGCTTTATAATAACATACCCAAATCAATTGTGTAATATAAACAATTAACCTGCTCTTTCATCAACTAAATCAAGTTTTCTATTACTGATTTCTATTATTATTCTACGCCTAATATTCAGACATACCAGAAGAATAAAACGCTTAATTTTAAGCTGCTTTTCTAACATAAGAAAGGATAATTCTAAGTAGTTTTTAACAGTTGCTAAATCTCCCCTAAAAAGACATCCTCGTGCCTGTACACCAAAGGCTACATCCTCACAAAGGTCTACGCCTGAGGGAAATTTCTTAGGCCTAAAAATAAAAGCAATGATAAAAAATAATGAAGAAAATAGTAAAAAGCGGCTCTTTACCACTGTGTGAGTACTTTTTAGGCACTATCTCCTTTATTAAATATCAAAAACACATGATCTCATTTATTCTCAAAGCAGCCCTATGATGTATAACTGTCACCCCACTTTTACAAATGAGGAGCTGAGCCCAGCAGGGGAAAGTAACTTGCCCAGGAGCTGGTTATGCAGGGCAACCAGGAGCCCCACCAGGTCTGGCCTGCAAGTCTCCAGAGCCCATGGTTCGAGCCATTAGAGAGACAAAGAAATAAAAGGTGGCCCCTCTTCCAGCAACTGTGGGGTCAATGTCAGAGCTACCGGGCTTTTGATGTCTTTTTGCTTCTTTCTGTCTCTTTACCCAAACCTCACTGAAATAGCAGAAATCATCCTTTGGACTCAAGTATTCAATATCATTTAGTTAAGGACCAACCATGTGTGGGACATGGTGGGAAGTGTTCTCATTTCTATCATTGTACGTAAATCCTGGAAAACAACCTTACCAAGTGAGGATTCCTCTCTCCTAGTGAGAGACAAGGAGCCTGTGGGGAGTGCGAGTCCTTTGGGGGGGGGGGGGGGCTTCTCCAGGGTTGGAAAGGATATAAGTGGTAGGACCCAGGTCCACCATCACTAAGTAGAGGGAGGGAGAAGGGAATGAAATAACATTTGATGGTACAGAGAACATGACTTGTGCTTCTGACCCCTTGGCTTGCTCTTAGCCTAGTGATGGAGCAGGCAGGTGGGCAGGGGGCTTAGTGTCTGTTTGAAAGCTCAGTGAAGGGTTGTACTGCTGACCAGTGCATCCACAGGCTGTTGCAGAAGCTGGCATACAGTAAGCACTCAATAAAGATTTGTGCAATGAATACAACAAAAATGTTTTTTTAAATGCCCCCCCCCCCAAAATCGAGTTTACATATATTTAGAGCTAATGTAAGTTGAAAAAAACCTTGGATGTACTAAAATTTACAGAAATGTGGCCAAGGTGTTAAACTGAAAGAAGTCTAAGTAATTTGGAGTATTACAAGTGGAAAGCTGTATCTGAGAGTTAGCTACGGGCCAATAATATCTATCTGCCCCCATTACTTTTTCAGTCCTTCATGAAGTAATTGAAAATACATCTGGTAGAGGCTACACATAGGATCTCACCAAGTATTAAAATATCAATGCCATATTTTAGCTCTGAACATAATAGAAAACAGATGTCGTATATAGCGATCTAAGTTCGGAGCACATAAGATACCATTGTGATTGAAAGGAAGAAATCAGGACCAATTATAATGAGTCTAATGGTAATATTGTTCTCTGGGAAGCTACACGAATCAGAAGATCTTATTTAGAGCATTTCTGAAAGTAGAGTAGTTTTTAATATCACAACTATACAGATGATAAAAATTAATTCATCCTGAAGAGGAAAAAACCCTCTTTTCCATTAAATACCTGAGCAGCTTAGTATTTTCAAAATTTCAGTACAAAAGGAAAGCAACTGCAAAAACTCACTGAATAGTAGTCTCCATTAATTCACAGAATTCAGTCTTTCTACACATAGCTCTTTTAGATATTATATATAAAAGGTTGAGGAAATTTACCTAATTTGGTGATATTTAAACGCCAGAAGTTGTTTTACATTACACACATACACTCACACTGAATCTTTGAATTGTAAAAACTTTCTTTCCTAATTGGAACATGATCGGCAACCTTTAGGCTTCTTTTTAATCATGCTGCTTCTACTGGGTTCGTGTCTCATAGAAATAATTAAGCGCTTGTTTTAATTATATTTTACCTTTTTTTTTTTTTTTAAAGAAAAACTTGCATAGAAAAGCTAAAATATGGTATTTGGATGGCTTTCTTTTTGTTTCCCTCAAACATCCCAAAATGAAACAAGTCCAGATTTTGTTACCACTAGTCACAGTCTCTGAAGATTTGGGGCACATTAGGAAGCTACCCAACCATTTCTCCTCTTAAAAGGACTTTCATAATAAAAATTTAACAGATGTCACTCAATGTGAGTCTGTTGTGATAATATATCAATCTAGTTATCAATAACAATTATTACCCCCCCAAAAAAGAAAAACTTACTCTAAAATAAAATTCTTCATTCCACTTTGGGTTCAGCGTCTGGAAGAGAAATCATCTTGTAATTTATTTTACAGTCTTTGAAACATTAACAGTTACTAGTACAATGCAGTCCATACAGTTTCTTAAACTTTTTCCCCCCCCCCCCCACTAAAAAACAGCTAAGAGATTTTCAAAATGGCAATAAAGGAAGCATTTAGTCAATTATCTGAGACTATTCTATCAATCAAACTAGATGGGGATGGGATGTATTTATGAAACAGATGATTCACAGGTAAGAAACCATAAATTTCATGCTATCAACCAGAAGGAATAACGTCAGGGACCTAACAAAGAGCCATCATCGTGAAAACAAAGACATTCTTCAAGAAATTAACACTGATACGATTACCCTATCAAGAAGGAAATGAACTTTGCTTATTTCCCTCAACCTGCTACAAATCTGTCTTGGAGAGCAAAGAAGCAGGTGGCAGGAGGGTGACAGTGTTCACTATTTATACAAAAACTGAAATCTGAAGACTATTTTGTAAAGAACAATATTGATGATCAGATTATATAACATGAAAAAACTCCGCCAGTTATAAACCAAAAGTGAACTCTTTTCCCCCAAATAACCAGGTTTAAAAATATTCATCTACCTATCCTCCAATCCTCCTTTCTACCCATCCACACCCATCCATCCATCCATCCATCCATCTCCACATCAATCCATATAAATATACATCTCACAAGGACATGGAAAGATACTTTTGTCCTCAGCTTGGATAAAAGATGGACTACCAAACAGCCTTTGAAACTAAGATGAAACATACTGTGGGAGAATACCTTTACACATGTGTTTGTGCATTTGGACATGCATCACACTCTGAAATAAACACATCTCTCAAAAATTCTATGTAAAAATTTGAGACTGAAAAATCACCTCACCAAGGACTACAGATATTTTAAACTTAGAATGCTATTTGTCTTTATCAATCTATTTCCTTTAAAAACTAGTGCAGGAAGCAGCAGCAAAATAAGAGCAACACAACGCACCATAAAAAAATAAACTGAATTTGTAAAACACTGAACTGGCATTAAAGAAAAAAAAAATCAGCAATTTCCCCACCCACAACTCAACGGGACGTTTAACCCTAAATAAAGGGGTTTCACACTTCTAGCTGTGAATCCAGCCGGGGATGGTAATGAGTGAGAGGGCTGGGGGGAGGACGCGGGAGAGGTGGGAGCAGGCCCAGGTCCGCCACGGGCTGCAGCCGGTCTGGAGCCCAGCTTCACGGAAATGCAGAGGGGGAGAGGCAAAGGACAGGTGAGGGAAGGAAACAGACAGGTGAGACCACAACACGCATGAAGGACCAGGCACCCAGCCACGAGGAGAGGACGATGAAAACAGTTCTTAAGTCCCGGGCGCAGCACAAAAATACTAACCAGGAGGCTGGCTGCCGAATGAGGCAGACAGCGCAGCCCCGGCTACGGAGCGACACCCTCTACCATGGAGCGGAGGGAGGAGGACCTCCCCTCGGAAGGAAACACATTTCAGTATCCCCGATCGCCGGCTGTGATGGCTTTGGTGGCTTTGGTTCTCTGCTCCCTCCGCGTCTGGCAGGCAATCGGGTCCCCGACTGCCTTCCCTGCAAGGCGGGCCTCCCGCCCCGCTGGAAACTCAACCAGCGGCAGCGCCCAACAGGGAACAATGGCCTCCGTCCTTCACAGGAATCCTCCCCACTCATCAAAATACCGTCTCCTGTTCGCTAAACTGATTTTCAGCGCCAGTCGGAATGCCAGGTGGAAGACACGCTAGACTGCTGTGTCTTCCTTACAGAAAATGACCTGGCCGCAGACCCCTGGCGTCGTCTGCACGATGGCAGGAGAATTACCATTTTTTAAAAGCCATCACGCTCTCTAGGAACTGCTTATCACACAGAGTGTTAAAACTGTTTACCCCGCAAAGGTGGGGAGGGAAAAATAATAGTAAATCTATAAGTAATACTGAAGCACAGATAAGAACAGTATTTCTGATAGAAAACATGCATCTTCAATAAATGCTCCAAATATGGAGTAAATATATTTTATAGATAGATATAGAGAAACATGGAGATAGATGAATTCAGATATAATTATGGATATAAATCTATGTTCTAATATATTTCATAGATGTATATAAAAACAAGGAGATAGATGAGTTAATATGGATATATGGGGTTTTTTTTTGTTTTTTTTTTGTTTTTTTTGTTTTTCCTTGCGTTATGCGGGCCTCTCACTGTTGTGGCCTCTCCCATTTGCGGAGCACAGGCTCCGGACGCACAGGCTCAGTGGCCATGGCTCACGGGCCCAGCCGCTCCGCGGCATGTGGGATCTTCCCGAAACGGGGCACGAACCCGCGTCTCCTGCATCGGCAGGCGGACTCTCAAGCACTGCGCCACCAGGGAAGCCCTGGATATATGTTTTAGTATATTTTATAGATGTATATAAAAATATGGAAACAGATGAATTAAGGTATAATTATGGAAACAAATCTTTAATGAAATCATGGGTGTAAAATTTAGAAAAGTGAAATATACACACACACAAATGTGTAGTTTTATTGTTAATATTTTTTATTTGTTTTTGTGTAGCTAAGCAAGTATTTTGCTTCCTTTGGTAATACCTGTTTTAAGTTAAACCATTCCCTTTGTGCCTACCAAATCCACAAGCCACTCCATTTCATTAAATGTATTTTAAATTGCTTTAAATTTCTTTTCATAAACTAACAAGCCAACAAGAACAAGTCCTTGTTTTGCTTTATTCTTTGCAGGGAAAAAAAATTCTACTTGTAATAATGCATATTTTAATACTGTTTTTATAGTCATTTAACTAAAAGCCAAAACCAGTATCTTGGGTTAACACTGAAAAGTCTGAATTGAATTTATAGATTTCATACTGAGAGATGCTTAAAATGCAAATACTGCCATCTTAAAATATAAACTTCTACAGAGCTCAAAGACATTATTTAATGAGATTTAATTATGACTTAAAAGATGTTTAATTAAGGATGGACCTTACCTTTTTAATTGTTTTTGTCTGTACCAAAGCAAGTTCTCTATTCTCATCTGCTACGTACAATGAAAGTTTCACATATGGATCACTGTAAGAAAAAATAGGATTATACTTTTCATTTTAAAAATACAAAAAGGAAAGTAGCCATAACCTAACTGAAAATGCAAAAATATCACTCAACGACCAGCCTGTATAAATTTCACAAACTAAGCAGTAACATTTTTAACATGCTTATAACTCGGTAAATATACTGAGGAAAGTTTCTATCACCTAGAACCACAGATGTTTATTTCAAAGCAAAACCAACATCAAACTCGTATTCTAATTTTAAAGATCATCTTCTCTACTCTTAATTCAAAAGAATTAATCTCCCATAGTATTTTTTCTAAGCACAATCAGATTCTGAAAAGATTACAAGAAAAATTATTAAAAGGCATATAAAATTTGTTCAGACTAGTAAAATCTAGCTAGAAAATTTAGTTTGCATCTTATTTATATTCTGATTTCCATTACGTTGGTGAAAATTATTTTTCTTTCAGTAGAGGTAAAACAGGCATTGTTCATCTAAGTCAACATATGTCATCTCATACATTAAAACAAAAACATACACACAAAAAATTAAAGCCCAGTAAGTCAACAGAGTTGCCCAAAGTTACAGATTTTAGTAAAGTCTTGATTAAATTTCAGGTTTCCTGACTACAAGTTCCAGAGTTCCTGTCATTTCCTTGCGAAACTGAAAACTTTTAGCCAGAAGTATACTGAAAGGATTACTTAATGTGAATTATCTACTAAGAGCTTGGTAAGTCCACTCCTCACACGTTCCGGAGTTGCTAACACTGGGAGAGCTCAAATCTAGTCAAACTGTAAGAATTTGGGATCCAGGTTCTTCTGTTTTACACTTGAGATCCTTAAAGTCATAGGAAGGGCCTTCCTGTATTCAATCCCCAAATTTTCACTCATCTAATTATCGATAGTGGGTGATTTATTTCTATCCAATTTCAGAGTTATCCTTTAGTAGTTATACATACCACGACTATTAACCCTTATTTTGCAACTTCCAGGGTATTTCTAAAGATTACACAGAGTATCATAAAATGCTTAAGACTATATTGGTGTATATTAGATAGCTCAATAAATATGCCATGAAATCCCTTAAGGAAAGAGAATGGTGTGATAAAATGAAAAGTTTAGTACTAACAGGACTATACTTGGTATCCAAAAAACAGAAATCAAAAGTCAGTGAAAAATATTGCTGGTGTCTATGTGTAGTATTTATTACCCGTAAGATGCATCTCAGTAGAAGCTACACCCCCCATCTCCTTAAACAAACACACAAAAAAACAATAGAATTTTCTCAGTTATATTCTGAGTAAATGTTTTTATTTTTAACATTCTGGTTTAGAAGAAGGTATTAGTTAACCCTCTGTCACTTAACCATAAACCACAGATGCTCTTTCACTAAAGAACATCTAACCAGATGCACCTACTTCTCCTTATCTGGAGATCACCCTCAGCCTCAGAATAAAGATGAACCAAGAACCAGAATCTAATCTAGGTCTAAAGACCCCAAGAACACCTTCCTAATCAGAGCCATGGTCTGGGTGATGGACCAGGAGTATAATTCTAGGTCAGTGGTTCTCAGACTTGAGCATATCACAACTGCCTGGGGGCGGGAGTAGTTAAAACACAGATTGCTGGGCCCCAGCCCCAAATACCCCCAAAAGATCTAGTAGGTCTGGGGTGGGACCATAGAATTTGCATCTCAAATAAACGCCCAGTGATGTTGGTGCTCTTGAGTCAGGAATCACATTCTGAGAACCACTGTTCTACATGGTATTTAAAAAGAGTATTTTCTAGTTATAGAAACCCATTTTCTATTTCTAGCCACCAAGCTATTGCTAAAAAGAGCTCACGGCCTGATATCCGTTATCTCAATAGGCTCCCAGTACACCATGGAGGTGCATGCACGCTCGTACACACACACACACACACACACACACACACACACACACACACATTACAGAGAAGACAAAAAACTCTGCTGACTCCCATCTCTTCTTTTCATGCCCCCTGGCTGTCACGATTGCTGCCTGTTATATAACTGCAATAAAGAGCTAGGCACTCACTTTAATGGAACATCCACATTCTTCCTCTAATCATTTACCGACCTCAGTTTATATCCCCTGAAGAGTTCACAATGAGTGACACATACAGCTGGGGGTTGAGGGTGGGGTCTCTGAGGACTTTGTCCCCCAGCTGTGACAAGGAAGGCATGTCTGGGCCTGTCTTGAGTGTTCATCCAGGCAGAAGTAGGTACTACGGTGACTGTGTGAAAGATTGACCAGGAAACTTCCTGGAAGAGAATTCAAGGCGAACAGGGAACCAAAGGCCAAGGGTGGGAGCTGGTCAAAGGACAGTAGGAGCAAGTTCAAGGGAAGGGAGCACAGGGCTTGGGATGGGCTGGTGAAAGGATGGTAGGGTGTAAGTTTAAGAGTGGTGGGGCTGGAGTGCGGAGGGGAGCCAGCTGTCCAGATCCGTCTCCCTTTCCAATGGTACAGCAGTACCACTCCCATCAACAAATGTTTACAGAGCACCGACTACACTCCCAGGAGTGGGCAACAAAAAGGATTAAACAAAAAAGGATCAGGGGCTTCCCTGGTGGCGCAGTGGTTTAGAGTCCGCCTGCCGATGCAGGGGACACGGGTTCGTGCCCTGGTCCGGGAAGATCCCACATGCTGGGCCCATGAGCCATGGCCGCTGAGCCTGCGCGTCCGGAGCCTGGGCCGGGAGGGGCCACAACAGTGAGAGGCCCGCGTACCGCAAAAACAAACAAACAAACAAACAAACAAGTGGTTGGACTAAATCAGTGGTTTTCAAACTGCAGACTCGACAGAGCCTTAGTTCTGCCTAACTATCTCAGGATAACTACAGGCTACCATTTCCACCTTAATCTGTTTTATATATGGGTTGCTCATGTTAGAATATTTTTGGACAGGGTTCTATAGCTTAAAAAAAATGAAGTTTAAAGCCAGTGGACTGGATGATTCCTTTTGGTTAGGATATTCTGATTCTCAGAATAATTCAAACTCACTTCTCTTCATTCTTAATAACAATAGCCCAGCCCATCCTAAGTAAATACGGATTGGCTTCCTAAAGATATGGCAGGAAGAGGGAATAACACCCTATCCTCTCCACCAGGGAATGAAGGGTGAAGCCCACAGTTGTATGAGAACCCCGCCTTGATTATCACTGGGCTGGTATTTTCTTATACACGTTACCAGCTCTAACCAACTTACCTATGAGGTATCAAGAACATATCACCTGAGCAATAACCAAAACAAAAGGCAGGCAGGTGTGCATGTGTGTTAGGGGGAGGGGCAAGGCTGAGGGACAGCAAGCCTCATCAGAGCTTCTTTACAAAAGCTTGCTTGTTGTTTTAACCCCTGACGGCCTTCATCTGAGTGTGATGCTCCGCAGAAGTGGTGAGAGGAAGAATTCAGTTCCCAGAGACTTTTTCACACTGACTTGAGCCGTCTGATAGAGGCAGCAGCTCTGGACGAAGCTTCTGCCCTCTGAAGCCCTACTTCCCAGATCTCACACCCTCCACACCTTTACTACGAAAGGCTGGCCAAATCCTGAGGTCAATGGTAGGTTATGTTCAAGACGTACCTCCCCCCAGCTAGACCACCAGAAGGTTTAGGAAAGACACATAAAAAGCTCATCAGCAGCTTCTATTATGGGGAGTAGACATAGGGTACAGCTATAGGGGCAGAGGTTCTGGTTTTCATGTTACTCCCTGTACACTGAAGATTTTTGTTGCTGTTATTAACCAGTAATACATAATACTTTTATAATTTTAAAAAAGCCAGGAGGGCCATGGAGGGAAGTAGGCAAGAAGACCATCTATCTCCTCAGCTGGTACTTTCTGCATTTGGTGCCCTTGACCATCTCCACTGGAGTCTCAAATCTCAACTTCACCAGCTCTCTAAGTGACCTTCAGACAGTCACTTAACCACTCCTCTTAACTTCAGGTGGTTCATGAATGAAACGGAAATGATAATTCCTAACTCAGAGCATCATTGTAAGGACCAGAGAATATTATGTATTAATATTAGTAGCCACGTCAGCACCAGACACACAGTATGAGTGCCCTATTAATGACAGCTGTTGTAATTGATTCTGTTTTTTCCTCTCTTTCGAGACTTTTGAGGTTCTCTGTTGCTCCTTCCAAGCCCCCTAACTTCTGCTGTGATTGCTGATCTAATCTGACACTGGTTACCTTATAGTATAAATTGGGTGCCGGCCAACCACAGCACACTAAGTGTCCCATGCTTCCTCATTATTCATGCTGTGTGGAAGCCCCATGGACATCTGGGTGGAGATGATCAACAGGATTCACTCCTGGCAACCAGTCACTGTCCTAGTGGCTGGTGTTCAGTGCAACTCATTAACATTACTCTCTAGGAAGCTCAACGCTTTGTGGATTCGAAGAGAAATGCTGTTTTCCAAACCTTTTGTTTTCTCTGCATAGTGAAGCTATTTGGGTACTACATTCTTTCTTTTCAGCCTTTCTAAGGAGACAAACTGATGTTAGGATTCAAATAACATCCTAGTATTAACTGAGTACCTGCTATATTCCAGACAAGGACACAGGCATCGGAAATAAAAGACACTGTCCCGGCCCCATGTGAGTGGGGCACAGAAGTAAAGCGATGATTGTGACACACTGTGCAGAGTACCCTGGCACACAACACTTCTAAGAGAAAGACTGCAGAACTACGGGACCGCGCTCATCTTAACCAGGCTTCAAGAATTCAGAGATGGGTCTCATTCTACCTTCGTCACCATTAAGCGAAAACAGTACAGACAAGGTCATTTCTCGGGGAGAGGTGGAAATAAGATTTTCTGGGCTTCCCTGTTGCTCAACCTCCCGGGACACGCTGAACAAGGGCAGTTAGTCCTGATGTGTCATTAATGGGGTGACCCCCTCCATCGCAGTCACCCAGGTGTTCCATGACAAACAACCATTTGCAGAGGCTAGTCCTTTCGCACTGATTACTCATTTTCATCAGAATAGTCTTTGATGAG